GTATTGCTAATGATGGAGGACATGTGGAAACTTAAATAAAATTTCAATAAAACCTTAAAAATATAGATTTATTTCTTTTCTTCCAATCCTTTTTACAAATTATTTCAGTTTCGAAATAAATACAAATAAAGGATATAAATTTTTTAAAGCCACAGAAATTGTCTGAGAGACATGACTGGGTTCTCCTGCTTGTGTGGCATGGTGCAGAGTTCTGTTGCCAGAAATGGAACCTTCCAACACCCATCCTATTGACTCAGGACAGCACTACCAATTCAAGGTAAAGTATGTAGGCGTCCGTGTTAAGCCTGAGGCCCTGTGGTAAGATTGAGGCATAATGTCGCCATCACTAGTGATCACTCCAAACACCATCATGTTGACTGGATATATCATACAAATCTTTCAGAATCCTCTTCACTGGCCTCAGATTGACACCCAAAAAATCTGAAATATTTGTATTGGAGCTTCCGGTGCTAATGTTGTGCAGTACAGTATGCCGTTTCAAAATTTCTGGTTAGTGAATTGCGTCATGGTGCTATTTTTCTCACAGACGGTGCCCACTGACCTTACTATAACTGTGCAGTCGATAAAATTTAAAAAAAAAAAATAAAAAAAACGCGCATGCGCGAAATTAAAAATATAAAATGGCGACAATTTACCCATCGCGTCCTGTATGTTATTCCGCTTTCACATGGTAGATCATATTCAGCTTTTATGCATATACATGTTTGTGTGGACATGACTACTAGAAGAGGTAATATGCGTGTTTTATGTTGCAATTTTAAGTTATATTTTGAAATACAGTTTGATTTCCTTAAGAATTTGTATGATATTATATGGATTAATGTCATGAAAAAGTACTTTCATGATGTTTGGTTGGTTAATTCTGTATGGGTTATTTAATGCCTAAATGTTCTTGTATTTTTGAACGCAATCATTTGTACACAATTACAGATAAAAGTATTCTTTTTGTATCAATGAATGTTGTTTTGTCATTATTTTTAATATAAAAAATGTATTGCTGGTATTTTTACTATAAAAATTAATTTTTATAATTTCATAGTGTTTTGTTTAGGGGTTCACTAATTGTCCATAGCTGACATTCTAACAGGCACTACCACCCTAGTTCAGAGCGGACCTGGGAACAAAAGCAATTAAGAGGTGGTTCCACCTTCCAATGTTCCGATCAGGAGCTTTGCTGCTGAATATAGTTTATCGTTATACCCAGGACTATAAATAGATAGATGTTGTAATAGAAGTCCTCTAAACGCTTGAAGATTTCTGTATAAATATTTCTAACATGATATCTATTTTCTAAAGTCTATTTTATCATTATGCTAAGTTCATTTGAATTTCCTACTAGTTGCATAGAGTTGAACATGAGAAAAATATTTGAACAATTTTAAATATAATTTGAATATAATAATAAAAATTAATCTAGCAAACTTACTATTTTTACACTTGTTTAAACACTTTGGTAGTTGTTTTTTTTAATATAATTAAGCAGATTACTTTTACTTGTTTGAAAATTCCATAATCTTTTTCGTCTCTGACTAATCTATAGTAATATGAAATATCAGACTACAACAATGCTTATTATTACGAACGCTGTAAGTTTTCTAACTTGCGACTGAATTTTGAGATATGCAGATCTAATTTTTTTTCTCTACAAACAAGGTGATTTAAAAAGAACTTTAAATATTGATTACATATGGAAATTTTAATATTTGAATTAAAAATAATTAACACAAATGAAATATTTATTAAAATATGCTTTTAAGAATTGTTATGCAAATTAAATGTTGTAAGCGCTATTTTTTTAGAATTATATGACTTAGAGAGTCAAATCCGTATATTATTTACATTATTCCGACTATTGTCCTCATCTTTGTCACCATATTTATCACAAAGTTTCGGCCGTTGTACCCTCCGGCCTTCTTCAGGTGGTTGGAATGTCGAACTGAATCCTTTTTTTCTCTCACTGGGGTAGACTGTTCTAGTTCCACGTGCCATGTTTGATTAGTTATCTCCTATTAATTTCCCTCTGGAAGTTCTCCACTGCCTTAACCGGGTATTGAACTCCCGCTCTTTGGGTCCTGTCACTAGATCTAACCAACGCCTTTATCCACTGTGCCATGTGTCCTTGAGGTATGAATTTCTGGGTATTATAAACCCAATGTCTTCAGCAAACCAATTTTACTGCTCATATTTCAAAACAAAAAAATCATTTCATGTTTTTACTATCAGAGCTCATATTGCAACTTTTATTATTAAATTTGCTTTTTCTTTTAAAAACCTTATTACTGGTTCCCATATTGTATTTATTTCTATGCTTGGTCGGCTCAGGAGATTTTTGTGGCCTAGCATATGTGCTGATTCCTTACTGTTTACGAATTTTCCAATAATGTTCTTTGTCTATGATCGATGAGGACAATAGTCCAAATAATGTAAATAATTTCTATAATAAATTTATCTCAGAAATATAGACAGAATATAATCCGTAAATATGTTATGTTTGCAACTTTTTTTATAGAAGGTTTAATATTTAATCTCTTAGTTGCGTCTCTGTCTTTTAGCAGAGTGATAAGAGGGGTTTCTCTCAGCAAAGGATAGAGGGGCAACTGAGTAAACATTAATAAAAGAGAGGCCCAACAACTTTGAGATGCCCTAGGCCGCGCCCTCCCACTGCAACAAAAGGGAGGGATCGGTGCTCAAAATCAAGGCCAGATAAAACGACGGTTGTGGGCTGAGGGAATTTTGGTTCCGTCCCGGGCAAACGCTCCAATATCCCCACCCAAATATAGACGACTTGTTTCAAATCTCGCCCAAATGGGGGGACAGAATAAATAAAATTTTATAAATTTTAGTATAATAAAAGGTTAAATTTAACCCCAAATTAATTTTTTCCCAATGATGAATAGATTCTCGAATTGCAATTAAAATCTCACATTACCAAATAAGTTACAATATTTCTAAATAAATGTTTCTAATACGACAAAACTATTATTATTCTTTATGCGTCGTGTCCCCTCAGGACGTAGGCGATCATGACACTCTACAACTTCCTGTCCCTTGTAGCTCTTAATAAGCTTTGTCTTTCTGGGTTTTTTTTCCTAAACCCTGTTCTGGCATCCATTTATTCAAGCTCACGACGTATTTCATGAGCTGTTTTCCTCTGCTCCCCCTGTCCTCTACCTGACATGTGTGTTGCAAATTTTCCAAGATGTCCTTCCTCATTATGTGCCCCAGAAAACTCAACTGTCTCTAACTGATGTTAAGTATATGTTTTTTTTTGTTTCCATTTTCTTTAAAATTTCGTCGTTGCTCATATGTTTGGTCCATGGTATCCTCAGCATCCTTCTGTAGGACCACATTTCTGTTGCTTCAAGTCTCTTCATCTTTTTTATCATGTAAATGTTTGGTACTCTTTTCCTTGTTTCTAGCGAAATTTTCCTATTTCTTAGTACTCTGCTTAACTTTTAGAAGGCATCTTCGGCTATCCAATTACGCCTTCGGATTTCAGTGTCACATTTTCCGTCCCCTGTTAAGACACTTCCCAGATATTTAAATTTCCGCCCGCACTTGTTTGATTTTGGTATCTCCGTTTTGCAGTTCACGCTTTGGGCTCATAAAACATGTATTCTATCTTCTTGCAGTTGATGCGTAATCCTGACTTCTCGCTTCCAACTCTTATAAGATGAAATTCCTGTGGAATATTTATTTTATAATTATATGCATATCTTGAATATTTTACAAACATTGATTGGTTAATTTTTATTTTGACGTGAAAACATTGATTTGCATATAAACTTAAACATACCTGATTTCGGTCATTTTTAAGAAGATAAGATAAATTATAACATTGTATATCAGTTATGTGCCATGCGTGATACACGCTTAGGCGATCCTGAATTTTTAGATACATGACTGACGAGGTAGATTTTTTTCCCGAAGTAGGTCGCCATTTCTTTCTGCAGTAGACCCCGTTCTGTCCTGGTATTTACCCATAACTGGGAGGAGAAGAAAGGGATTCATACCTTTTCCAAGTGTATTAAGACGTAAGTGAATGTAATGGATTCGACTGGAATTCGAACTCGGTTCTCCGATTTCTCAATCCGAACCGCTATCCATTACTCCACCCGTGCCTCCCAAATTTGTATAACTACATTCTTATATAGATATCATTGATATACTAGCCTCGTTAGTGCCACAAACATCAGATAACGATTATTAATCATTTTCCTTGATTTTTTCAAATTACTGATCTGATATATATACGAGGTGGTGCTGAAAGATTCTCGTCCCGATCTAGAGTTATAAAACGTACATTCTACTTCACATATTCACTTTACAGTTCAACGTACTTGGTACAACATTTCTGAATTTTATTTTAGTTCTTACAACATATTATGTCTGGACGTTGAAATACTTTCTTTTTTGCTGTAGCTGTCACCTCCGAAGCATTCAACAATGTCCGAGGAAGCAGACGTCGCAAACCCTGGTTCATAGGATGGGTTGTCGATGCACTGAGACATTAAATTCTTCCAAACTTCTATAGTTTTGCTAGTCTTGTGATTATGAGCATTGTACTGCAAGAAAGAGTATCACTACCATATCAGAGCTGGAGCTGTACAATCATCATTTTTCACACTATCCAGAGTTCAAAACCGTTTATGCGGCCTTATGAATGATTAATTGTTTTCCACCCTACAACCTCTTTCCCCATAGACGAAATGTTGTTAGACTCTCACTACTCTATCTCTACTGTCATTACTTCTATTATTACAGACCCTCCTAGATAGAACCCGCCATGCCACGTGCAAAGTCGATCCATCCTCGTCCTCTTCGTATACCGTTAGTAAAGAAGTTCTATTCAGACAGCGTCTTCCCCTGAAGTGGTACTTTGTGGAACAGACTTTCGAAATGATGATTCCACAATCACTACAAACCTAACTTCTTCAAGTCTAGGGTCAACTGTTATCTATCCTACATATTCTCATAAGATGCAATGCAATCTCTCTCTCTCTCTCTCTCTCTCTCTCTCTCTCTCTCTCTCTCTCTCTCTCTCTTTCCTTGCACTCCATTACAACAACATTTTTCAGTAAACTGCTACCTTGAGTGACTATTGATTCTTGTATTGGTTAAACAATGCAGGAAAAAGACCTTTTTTTCTGCAGCTTCCTTCAACGTTTACTTTTAACACTTTCTTTCGCCGGCAGGGTTAGATTTGTCTTTTGCACCGTTTGGCCGCTTTGAAGATTGACAGCCCCCAAAATAACATCCTTATCCCTCAAAACCGTGACCCTGATTTTCCTGCTAACTTTATGTTCTTGAACTTTTCGGTCGTGTAAAACTGGCACTGCGTGGGCTGTTGCTCGTTTCTTGCATTGCAGGTCATAGCGATGTGACCATATTTCATCAATACTGACAAGTTGTTGCAGAATATTATCCCGAGATCGTTGAAAAGTTTACCCAAATCAACTTTGAAGTTTCTATTCAATATCGTTTCTCGTTGACATTGATACATTTTGCCATCCACTTGCCTGACATCTTCTGCATTCTCAACAGCTCAAGAATTATACATTCTGCGTACTCACTCCTTCTCTTTTACCCCCCTAGACTCCCCTGAGGAGGACTGGAGCCACAGCTCTCAACAACGCTATGCGTTGCTACTGTGGTTTTCATAGCAACTAAGGTTTTATGAGATGAAATTGCTAGCCAACCTATTGTGTATCCGGTTTTTTGTTCACAATACCAGGGGTTTCCAAGTAATCTCCATTTAAGTGTGCTGACGAGGCTCGACAAAGCTTAGCTTCGGTCATCAAACGAGAACCTGTGTTTCAACCTGATTTGACCGTAAGCGCGTTCTCAATGGAGAACTCTGATTTCTCAACATTTACGACCAACGTAAATTACGTCATGAACAGCAACCATTTTAGGAGTTGATAACATTGAAAATACCTGATACCATCGAAGATCTCACAGACTGGGATGCAGTTTGGATCTTAAAATCACTGCGCTGGGTGTTAGCACACCACTTTACAACTGAATATAATAATAATAATAATAATAATAATAGCTGGCCATTCGTATTCGAGTATACCCGTCTACTAGGGCGGCTAGCCAATCCATATTGCCGACGCTTGCTCAGGCACATTTGTGTTTATTCAACACACACAGAGTTCACCTGTGGTTTATAGTGCAACTATGCTGATCAGACCATTGTTACAGTTTCTGGGAAAGAGCGTGTTATCTAGTGTGATCAAAAATTTGAACAAGATCATCACAGTCAAGCCTTCGGCCACGATGACTTTTGACTTCGTGCCAGCACAGCTATCGACGGCCCTCAAGGGTTCCGTCTACCCAGTTTCACTCACAAGGCTTGGGCCAACACGTGGTATGGTTTTCAAGCTCTTTCCAAAGGTGCCGTACGCTGGGATCGACCCTTCCAGTCCGATAACATCTGTTTCCTTCCTAACAAATCGACCATGGTGAGATTCGAACCCGTATCTCATGGTCAAAATGCGAACGTTCTAACCACTCGGCCACGTGCCCATAACAACTGAATATAACAGGTACTTATCAAACAATGTTTTGTATCACACCCTAGTAGATTTCCTTGAGGGTTTTCTTCTGTAGAAACAGAAACTTCATAGGGAGCTGAGGTTCAATATTTGACCATTCCACAATTTCCTTTGACATGATTCAGTTAATGATCAGAAACAAATTAAAAAATAAGGGCAAAACTCCTGCAACTTAATATTTTGTAATATAAAAGATGAAGCTAAAGAGATAAAATAACGCCCAGATTTTGGAAAGTGGGTTGGGCCGAAACCCTTTCGGCCTCTCCTCGTATTAACCAGTTTTATTAATTCATTGTTGCCTTTAAGTTAAAATTGTTTTTTTAAACATATCTTGGCTGATATATGTTGTAACAAAAATAAATGGCCATGTTGAACCATAAACTCAAACATATAAACGTTCGTCTCTAACGCATTTTCATTGATCAAACTAAGCAATATTAGAATCGACACAGGGTTACCTATGATCCGACAGTGAATTTATTCCATTCAGATAAAAAGTGTTCACGATAGTCGGCAAACTTTTTAAGGGTCTGGTTTCCATTGATGCACATTTGGTAATCCATATAAGGCCCCAAAAGCGAACAATAAAAACAAGTTTAGTGAATAGGGAGAGTGAAAAAAGGAACCCAAGTTTTTGTTGAGTCGTTTTATCAAACATTAGATATTGAGTTATCCTGCATCAGGATTGAGTGATTTGTGTTTTACGGCTTATCAGCCCTTTCTGGGTTATTTAAAGCCGAAATATATTTCGGATTGTAGAGGGTTGCTTATAGTAGCCGGTGTTCTCAAGCAGTCCCCCATCTAAGAACTGACCAGGCTCAACATTTCATAACATCGGTGATCGAACGAGATCGATTTTTTTTTTGTTGTTGTTGTTTTTTGTTTTTCTGCGTGATTTCACCGTAGGCCTGCGAAAGGATAGGTCACTTTTATTTCTCCACTACTAACTAAAATCCTAAAATGTTGATATATTATTTTCAAATCAGGACAACATGGTGGGTGTTTTCAGGTTGCAAGATAATTTAATGGATTGTTTGATTATAACGCCACCAAACGGTTTTGAATTTAAAAATTTGGTTTAGGTTAAGTAAGAGAGAGAGCGTATGTTTGTTAAGCCGATGAAAACCCCGTTTCCGACTACCGTATGAGCATTTTATATCAACAGTATCCATACGCTCAAGAAAAATGTCATTTTTTTTTAAACAAACAAGCAAATTGCATCAAATGGCAATTCTTAATTATCTAGTAACGACTTTCGACAACGACAAGACTCATCTTAAAGTATCAAATAACCAGAGATGAACATATTACGTTATGAAGTTGACCCCAGTCTCCAAACACGGTTGATGATGCAGATGAATTCAGCAGTGCAATGCCCGGCTTTGAGCTCATGAGATATAAAAACCGTTTGAGTTCATGAGATATAAAAACCGTGTTTGTTCATCTTTGCGTCGATACCCTATAAAAACGACAATAAAAGCAATCAAATCAGACAATAACTTAAACAGGAAATGTAGAGCTTTAAAATGACATATAGACACACGCGTTAACAGAAGGGAGAAAACCCGATTGGACTAATGCATTACAAAACGGTTATTTCGATCTAAACTAATATTAGACTCAATAATATTAATCACAACAGAAAACAAAACTATATATAATTGATCCGGTCTATAAAAGTGATTTCGGTAATTTATGTGACGCGACCCTTCAACACATTATTGACTGATCGATATTGATTGATCGCTTTTGTTGTTATTGTTGAATTCTGCTCGCCCACCAATAACGTGTGATTTTGTCAGATAAGTCTCTGTCCAAGATTAACCACAAATATAGAAATGCAAATAAAGGTCATTACATAGAAAGAACACAAAGACAGGCAGAATATATAAATTCTTTGCATGCAAAGAATCCTTGTCAACGCTTGTAGATATGAAAATATAGACATTAATATCCAACAGATAACATTTCCGACACAAAAGATCTACGGCTCTGTTACTTAGCAATCATTTATACAATGGAGGTATTGTTAAGTGACGTCACTGAAATCACATCGGCTAAGCGAGTTCAAATTTTGGCTGAGGCTGTATATATTCACTTTTCGCTTAAGAAAGCATAGATACACTTTTCTCTGCTCTCTGTAACCATTACTACGTCCCTTGACAAAATAGCTCGTCAGAGTGGATGACAAAAAAAGAGTGTGTAGGAATGAGCACTTGGTCAAATAACTCTCTTATATCTATTCTAGTTTCTTAGGTACTGACAGCCGAACGTTTTTACTTCCATTATCAACCTTGACAAGGATCAGTCAGTTCGAAAAGTTACATAAAAATGACCTGTAAAATATTATTTTAATAGAAAACAAAAAGTACTGAATTTGATTCTTTGTTCCTGAAATTATGATGTTACTCTACCAACGTGTCGGCGTGTATCTGATGACGTCATTCCCGCTTTTAAAATGCGTGGATTTGTATTTAAATAATGCGTTGTTTTAAATGACTAAGCAGAATATAAGGAACACTAATGAGCCAATATCTACAGACGTCCACTTCATAGACATCGTCGGATTGCTCGGATCTGTGAAGATTTTATTTATTTACTGATAATTCGCCCAATACAAAACCCAAGGGCCACTCCCTGTAGAGGGTTATTGAATGATATTGTTGTAAAAGAAGCGTGGATGGAGGGATTACGAATTATTATACGGACTTGAAGGATAGATATAAATTGACCCTGAACTTCAAGAAACCAACATTGTAGCTGTCAAGGAAGCATCCTCTTGGGAGTCTGTTCCACAAAGCAACAGTTCTGGGGAAAGGAATTTCTTGTAGGTTAACCGGATCAATATGCACTTGTTGAAGGCTGGAAAACATAACGACCGTAACGGTGTAATAACAACAACAAAGATGAGGACAATAGTAAATAGTGTAAATAATTATTATACAATCACTGTGTCGTGCGAGACAATTTTTCTCTCCAGAATCTGTCATACATATCTATAAAATCAAACATTCGTCCATGTTTAGAATATTGCTGTCATATATAGTCCGGTGCCCTTGCTATTTACCTTTGAGCTCCTTGATAAAATCCAAAGAAGAATCAGCAATATTATTGGTCCTTATCTGGCAGCTCGACTTTAGTCACTTTCCCACCGCAGTAAGGTTGCCTCCCTGCGTCTTTATAAATACTTTCATGGTAATTGTTCTGATGAGAACTTCGCTATGGTAGTTATTTTTTTTTAAACTTTAAGCGCAGTACAAGACTAGCGTCGACATCTCATACATTTACGGTTGAGCTAGTCATATTTAACCTGAAATTCTATGCTAAGTTTCTTATCTCGCACTTGTCGCCTGTGAAACTCCCTTCCGGCACCATGCTTTCCAGTCGGCTTTAATCTCCAAAAAAATAAATGCAATGTCAATCGCTATCTATTGTCCTCCTGATGACTCTTTTTGTTTTCGTTTGTTAGTAATGCTTGTTTCTAATTCTTTCACACCTAGTAACCCCCTGTGTCTTAGTGGCTTTATTGCCTTGTATGGGGTGAAATCGATTAAAAAAATACGGTGTTGGACAGAATTACTCCAACAGCAACCTATCCGGTGTTCATTGTTACTTGAAACAGTTTTTTTTAAATTAACACTTGTCACAAAAGTCTGTTTTCTTTTTTTGCTTTTTTATTTTATTTTTTGTTTTGTTTTGTTTTTTGAGCTTCTTCTAAAGGTATTTAATTTAGTCATACATCAACGTCCCGAAACTATAGGTTAAATAGTAAAATATCTATCTCTCTCTCTCTCTCTCTCTCTCTCTCTCTCTCTCTCTCTCTCTCTCTCTCTCTCTCTCTCTACATATATGTGAAAATATATAGAAAATAGGAAAGAACTGGTTAGGTAAATAATCCAAAGTTCCTTAGTATTTTTGTTATTATATTTAAAAAATAGTGCTCGAATAGACATGAGTTAACGTTTTTTTGCCGACATCATCAAATTTATGCACTGAATAATTAGCTAAAAACAAGCATACAATATAATAACTTTTATAATCCATAGACCGAATATATAGTTTAAATACCCGACAAAAAAGATAACCCTTTATGAAGTCGTCTAAAAACAAATGTTACGACAGTTTTTATATGCACAAATCCCTTTCATAAAGAAATAAAATAAAAAATAAATAAATCTCCATAGACACGTAAACCAGAGTAGGCGAAAACATCTTCCGTTTCAAATTTAGACACTCCCACCTTACCCTGACTTGACAACTATGAAAGTAACTTTATACTGATACGTATTATTAACACCTTACTCACCCCTACCTATTTTAAACAATCCGCCCTGGCTGTTACCATGAAAATTTTGATTTCAATTATGAATATACTATTAAAACACGTAAATTTCAGAAACAAGTTATTCCCAAAAAAATTTCGCTTGAAGATGGGACAGACCTTACTTTAATTCAATTTAATTCAAATAATTATATTGAAGTTTTCGGCTCTTGTTTTAAAACATGAGACCTCTTATGTCGCGAGTTGGAATCATATCTTTAAATAAATAATTATATATATATATATATATATATATATAAGTATATATATTGGTATATACGGAATGAATTCCAATAACCAACAATTACTATTCTTAAAAAGAGTGCTCAATACAAAATTAGAGCAGATATAATTATTTTTTACAAAAAAAAAATTATAACATAAGTATGTTATAAAATCACTACAAAAATAGCCATTTTGTTTCAACACACTCTGTGTCTTATCAAGTGATGATGTTTCAACATGGCTATTTTTGTAGTGATTTTATAACATACTTATGTTATAATATTTTTTTATAAAAAATTATATATATATATATATATATATATATATATTTTTCCTATATTTATGCTTTTCCTGTATTTAATATATATATATATATATATATATATATATATATATATATATCAAGGAAAAGCTTAACACATGAAAAAGTTAAACTTTTCTTTGATGTATATCATATTGGTTTGCATTGTATACGTTGAGCTCTCTACGGATCTATTTTTTTAATATTTTACATTAAAAAGAATCACTTGGGTTATCCTTTCTACTTACGGGTTTGATATCATTATTTATATAAATATATATTCAATATAGTAATTCACCGAATCTAAAAGAATCCTCAACACGATGCAGAATGTACGGGGTGGCCGTTTTTGGAACTCATTAGCAGTGCGCATCCATTACCAAGAATCGAACACGGACCGTTTCGATACAATGCAAACGTTATACCAACGAGAGCCGAAAAAGAAACTCAATAGACTCGATATAGCGCCGCTACTCACAAAGAGCAACGTCTTATATATATATATATATATATATATATATATATATATATATATATATATATATATATATACAATATATATATATATATATATATATATATATATATATATATATATAAAACAAACTCGGTAAAGAACAACTTTGAATACAACTTTGAATAGAGTTGTATATCAATGCTATACACGCTGGTATTGCCTCCCCAGACCGATATTTTCAAGAAGTCAACTCCTTCACCAAATCGACCAGCATGCTATTCGAACCCGGGCCTCATGGTCAGAATGCTAACGTCTTAAGTACGTGAGATACATACTACAGAAGTAACGACCAAAAAGCGATAAATAAATAAGAGCAGCACTGTAAGCCGGTTCATCATTGGTGAGAGTCAATCGTTACTTGTATCGTTACAGTGACTAACGTAGGAGACACACATTGTGAAATAAAAACAAAAGCATGTGTCAAGTGTCATGTTACAAGGCTTTTTGTTAAAAATCAATAATTTACGAGTAAATCTTCCACCAACGCGTGGAGAGCAACATTTCAGTTAATTGCTCTCCAGGTAAAACGCTTCCGTTGTGATTTATGTTAAACAAACTAGTCATTTAACAAGTTGACACTTAGACCTATGGTCACACTTCGTGAGGAATTTAGATTTTATTAATATACTTGTAGTATGATGCAATGGCGGACTTAGCAGTCAAAAAACCGATGGTATCAAGTGGAGTGCTAAACTGGGGTTACAGCCGGCCATCAAATTCCGTCACTTCAGACCTGGATCCAGTTTTGCAAGCGAGGGAACGATTCGCAATATAGGCAGTGATATAAACGACTGCCCCGAAAAAGGAATCCCGGACAATATCTCACGAGAATGAAAGTTTTGTGCATCGTACTACGGCATTGGATGCCGCTTAACACCCACACTGGTCAAGAATAACTGACTGTAGTAAAACTAAAAGGGTCACGAATTCGCACACCGAAAATCCTCTCCCTCCTCTTTTCATTCACCCACACCATTGACTTGTTCACTGCGACTGACTTATGTCATATGTGTTCGAAGGCAGGTACCCTAATCCGTAGGCAAGAAATCTTGGCTATTTCGTCAACCCCGTAAGAAGAACATCCGGTCTATTCCATCAACCGAGTTCTGTTATAAACGACAGAATAAATCTGTTCCAGTTCTTCTGCGTGTTTATGTGACACCCGTCGGTCTCGAGAGTCCATCGATCTACGCCAAAGAATTATGCCTCAGCTGCTGATTACGGTGTACTGTCTGTTATGGCTGTACAGGCTCACTCGCGAATGACAGTCATGATTTCAACGAATGCATATAAAGAGACTCTACCCCGATGTCGTCGTGTTGTTTTCTTTTCCCCTCGAGCATGCTTCTCCCCCAACGGCAAGCTTCCGTCTCTTCTCTCAACCCTCGGAGTTTTTCTTTGTATCATGGAGCCAATGGCATCGGCAAGTGGAATTGAATCAAATGTGGTGTTAAGTTATGAAGGTTAAAGTATCGATTGATCATATTTGCCGGCACATCCACATCAATACAGACTGAGTGCAATGGCGTGCGAAAATTGGGAAGTTTCGTTCGGAATTTCTCTGATGAGGTAGATATAGTTATTTACATTATTTCACGTTACAAGTGTCCTAACGCATACGAATCATGGGAGCGACACCTGTACAGCAGCAATAGCAGCAATAGGATCATAGAGGTACCTCATGTACTGAAGCTGTATCCGCAGTGGGTGTGTCTAGGGCAAGAAAGCAGTGACCTAACACATTAGGATCATAGAGATACTCCACGTACTGCAGTCATAGCAGCAACGGGTGTATCGAAGGCAAAGAAGCAGTCACAACATATTAGGATCATAGAGGTACCTCATATACTGCAGTAATAGCAGCAGTTGGTGTGTCTAGAGCATAAAAGCCTGAATAAACTTTTCCTTCTTCTGGCTAGTTTTGAATTCAGATTTTTCTAAGGCAAGAGAGCTGGAGGAATTTAGTTTCATGCCTTTTCCAAATGCATTAACACAAAGTGAACTAAACAGATTCGACCAAAATTTGAACTCCGCTTGCCGATTTCAATTTGTTCAATTTCTGTCTATGATGACCTTTACACTATTCCTGTGTCCTTACATTATTTACATTTGGTCTAATATCCTCATCTTTGTAGTCATTATCACAACGTTTTGGCTGTTATGCATTCTGTCAGTCGATCCCGGTAATCATCAAGGAATTTTGAACAGAACACTCCACAGGGTTAAATTGTCCTCTTCCTGCTGCTCATTTTTATGGAGATATTGTCTTTCATTCTTGTGTGTGTGTGTGTGTGTGTGTGTGTGTGTATGTGTGTTCTGCTGGGTTATTGCTAGTCCTATTTCACCTGAGTGAGTTCGTACTACCTGGACCAGGCATTGAACTCAAAATTACATTGTTATCAAACTCACAAATCAAACTTCCATCCTCGTGACTATTGTGTTTCTTCTAAATTCTTAAGAACTAATAGTAACGAACCTGCTTTCGCCTTTTCCAAGGCTAAACGTCGTATCGGAGATCAAATTTAAATCGATGAAGAAACAAGTTTGGCTAAGTATTAGTAAATACTATATTTCCTTCTGTATAACACACACTGTTATATAACTCGTACCTATAATTTGGCAAAAAATATTTTTTTAAATAACGATATTCAACTGTGTATTCAAATGCCTCGTTTGAGGGATCAGTTAAAATAAATTTAATATAGGCGATAAGAAAATTAACTGTAAAATATGCTGCACTAGGTGTAGTTTTGCCCAACACCACAAACTGCTTCTTCTTTATGCACCGTGTCCCCTCAGGGTGTAGGTGATCATGGCTCTCCACAATTTCCTGTCCTTTGTAGCCCTTAATACGTTTTGTCATTTTGTTATTTCTCCCAAACCCTGTTCTAACATCTATTTGTTCAAGTCCATCAAGTATGTTGCGCATTGTTTTCCTTTGTCCCTCTTTCCCTTAATCTGTCCTGTGAGGATCAGATTTCCTAAGCCCACCATCAAGATGTGTTTTCTTCCCCTTTTTATTTAACCTGTACAGCGAAACGATTCACGAAAGACTCGAAAATCTACCAGAATTTATTATTGACGGGCATGAAAAGTTCTCAATGAATCGACGGCCAGCTAACTAGAATTGGCGTCGCAATAAAAACACTGTGGAGAAGGCAACGGGAAACTACTATACTACATGTTCCAAGAACAACCCTGGCAACAAACAATACAAATATTGTACATAACGGCGTAAAGGAAGTTAAGTCCACTGGAGATACCTCATTGTCAGAGAAGGAAAAACATGTGCAACAGGTGTCAACGGACCATTTATCCAGTGATATTCACTATGAACAAAAATAACGTAAGAATGCTATTCCAAGGTGGTCAGCTTGCAGACAGAAAACCAGAGAAGGATAGATTATATATCTTCTCCGCTGGTGTGAAACTAAGTTGGCAAATAATGGGGACATCATAAGCAACCCACACAGGATAATACAGGCAA